AACTATGAGCCACCTTTGAATTTTTCTTTACGACAAAAAATTTCAAAAATGAACTGCATATCGCAACATTACCTTCCCTTGCCCCATTCGAAATGTTATACAAGCACAGGCATCAATCTGCAACACTCCACAGCGGATGAGGGGGTGAAAACAAGGGTATTAGGGACAAATTGAAATGCTCTGCCAGTAAATTGCGATCTCAGTCAAAATGGGTCACCAGTTTTGTCGCTTCTTGTGTTTTCCACCTCTCATTTTAAGCCAAGATCCTTTCTGAAAAGATCTCTGCCAGAGTATAACATTGAAGCAACAATCAACAAGGGAGGAAGTGGATGAAAAATCATGATTTATGCGGAAACTGTTCATCTAATTTAGAGTAAGTGTACAGCTCACGTACAGATATCAAAAGTAACAATCGTTGAAGCTAAAGGGGAAGAAGATATCCATAGCACGGAAGGAGCATAGTGAAGATAAAATGGAGACAATAACACAACCATAACAGCTTCTGATCATGCTGATCAACGTAACTAAACGAATCACCCTCGAAAAGATTCGAACGCTTAAAGAAAGACTCGAAATAATGGCTACTAAAATTGACGGAACAAAGGCTGGAGAAGCAGCCGATAAACCAATAAATAATGTGAAGGTACTTAACAATATGAGCTGGCAAGTGACATGGACCCAGATGAAATATTGGTGAAAATGGCGCCAAGGATGAGGAAAGGATATCAAAAGGAATAAAGCCAAAACAAGACGGGAACGATCGTTAACATGTTGGTAATACTTCGTAGAAGGGGTTTCAAAGCCTATGAAGCGTTCAAGGAAGCACTTACCAGCACAGATGGGCATTCAAACCTTGCGAATATACTTCTGGCGGTAGTTGGGTTATGTTGTGTTATCAGTCTTGTGCATTATTGTAATCGACTGTTAAAAGCTCTTTGATTAATTGCTTTAAAGCATGCAGACACAATCTGTCTCTTTGTTATCCGCCATAATTTCGTCTTAAAATACTCAAATGATCTCGTAAGTTAAAGAACTTCGATTCTTCCTAAACGGTATAGATGCTGTTTCCTCAACGGCTAACCATGTCATCCACGTAGGATGAAATGATTTTATGATATTGTTAAGTCGGTTATAAAATAATTGATTGTAATTTCTTATAATTTTTGGAAGATCTTTTGGAATAAGCTTACTATTTTTGACGTTTCAATAATGCAGAGGTAGTTGTTAATGTCACAGATTTTAGCTGGTTGTTTCATTTCCTCAAGCTTAATGGATGAAGGTCATCGATTGGGCCGTGCACGATTTCAAACTTCAGCAGTTTACCTGAAATAAAAAAATCTTCATAGCAAAAAAAAAATTGAGGCGTCCACTCAAAAGAAATTTGTCAGCAACAGTAACGAATTTAATTCTTGTATCATTAATTCATGTGCGTTCTTATAGAAAAAGGAACATGTTATTTCAATTTGTGAAATCGTATCAGAGGACACTGAAAAGTGAACATTTCACGCCTTAAACGGTAAGCTGTTCGTAAACATTTTCCCATGCGTTTAAAAATATTTGAAGGATAATAAACGCAATTTCCCCCGTTTGGCGCAAACATTTGCATAGATATTTATCTCGGGGTCAATCTGTTCCGAGATGTGAACAGTTTTCCGTGAGCGAAGCTCGACGAAAACTGTGATTTTGGACTGTTCAAATAAAACCGCAACCGCTTGAAGATCGTTGTCAAACTCTAATGACTAGCCTGCAAAATAACTCCACAAGTAATACTTACGAATAAACATTCAAGGATGTGTTAGGAAATAAGATTTAAAAAGTGAACTACAGTTGGTCACGACACTCGCCCTTCTTTTTTCACCCGGTGTCACAGTGATATGTGTACCCCCGTGATATGTGTACCCCCGCACACATATCACTAGTGATATGTGTACCCCCTCCAAGATGGCGGCCAGTGATATGTGTATCCCCCACCCCCCTCCCCTCCAAAAAATAAATAATTACGGCTAACTTGTGTTAATGGACGCAAATCGTTCACTGAACCATCTTCCACAATCAGAACTGTAAAGACACGACTCGCGAGTCCGACAGTTCTTATGGGCCAGTAGCAAACATCAAACAATCTATTGGAAATATAAAGGAATCGAAATTGTCATGTAAACAAAAATATATCTTGGGGATACACATATCACTGGTGACTGCAATCGTATCGGCTTTGTCGCCTGTCTAGCACTGAAATTACTTGCTACTAGCTCCTTTACTGGCTAGTACGCAAGTGCATGAAATATTTCACCAACTGACAGCAAGTTTTATTGATTCCCAATCATATGTGNGCTTTGTTGCGATGCCAGTGTAGGCGATGTTGGCCTTGATGCAGTCTTTAAAGCGCTTCAGTGGCCTGCCTTGCTTTCTCTTTCCCTTACTGAGCACTCCGTAGAGGAGTTGCTTTGGGATTCTGTCACTGTCCATTCGGATGATACCCCCCGTCCATCTGAGCTGGGCTTTGAGAATCATAGCCTCAATGCTGGTGGTTTCTGCACGGTCCAAGACCTCAAGGTTTGTGATCATGTCCTGCTATTTGATGCCCAGGATTGAGCGACAGCTCCGCATGTGGAAGCTCTCCAGCAGTTTGATGTGTCTTCTGTATAGGGTCCAGGTCTCACAACCATTGCTTTCGAATGTTTTCATCCCTTTTTCTTCCGGGTAGCCTATGAAATCCCAGTTCACTGTACAATCGAGAGTCCCCATTGCACTAAGGAACACAGCAATGGAAGCAGGACTTTTTTTGTCTATATAAGGTGCCGGAGATTCGTTGATGGTGTTCTCTGAACAGACAAAAACAATAAATATAATTTGTCATGCCGATCATAGGTAAAAATTGAGGTTTTCCCGCTTCTAAAGTGGTCTATATTGCACTCAAATTTTAAAATAGGGCAAAGGCTTGCTTTAACAGGTGTTTTTATGCAAGTCTAAGGTATGGAAATCATTCTAGATGAAGATTTTTTGAGTACATACCTTGCGAAGCCGCCATGTTGTGAATCATCGGTGCTGGTTTAGAACGGCAAACTGGAAGCAAAAAACGGTTTTACTTTTCTAAAAACAAGCCTAGTTTGGAATTATGACTTAGAACAACTGTAGAAGTGGAATAAAATTAAGTACTTTTGTGTCTTAAAACTTTCTTCAAAACCACACGTGCTTGACCTTCTCGCTTCTGTTCAAATGGAAAGCTTGCTCTCCAGTTTCGCGTTGTTAGGTGGTATCCAAGCACGTGACGTCTAGCTGCAGAGGGCCTCATCTCTTTGTATAAAAGTGAGTTCTTTGAGGTCAGAAATCTCAATCCTCAATTCGGCTATTTTATCATTCTTATTTACAATGTTAACCGAGTACTTTCCTTTGTCTAAGGTCACTTTCCTTTGTCAGAGAGTTGTTAAAGGTGGATATTGATCAGCTCATATGTAAAGGTGACAAAATTCGTGGAGGTTCGTAGACTTCGCTCAGTTCCGGCGTCGAGATCGCACTGAGGACGGTTTTTCTTGTCCCTTCTCTTCTTGAATAAATGGTAGGCACTGAACCCAGAACAGAACAGAATTATTCGCCTAGATCTTTCAAAGTACACAGATCTCTCGAAACAGTCCTCCGAGAAGTGTTCGGAGTAGACCACAAATATTTCTGTAGGATTGAAGTTTACTCGGCGAGGTCGCACAAGTCGCATCCGTTTTTCCCCCTCTGATCTAATTGTAAGGCTCTGATGCAGAGAAGTACCTGCAGCATGGTCTACACGAGTACTTCAGCTTTGAATTACGCATCGATGCCCAGTCATTTTCGTTTAGTTTTTGTAAGAATAGAGTAAAGCACTCTGTTATGTTTGCTTGACATTTTACCATGTGAGATTTTCGCGTTGAGCCTTTGACGTTACTTCCTCTGAGTCCTGCGATCAACTTCCGGAACATGATCAAATAATGGCGGACGCGAAATCGTGAATTTAACGGCCCGAAAAAAGATATTTCTGGTGCTCGGCCCAAACTGAAATTTGGCAGAGTAGGTAAAGGAGACACACTGAACACGAAAATGGAAAAAAATCATCTACGAAAATTTTGATCTCAGGGGCACTTTAATGCATTACATTAACGACGAAATCAGACATTCAAAATCGCTAAAAAATAAACATTTTTGAGGCAAAAGGACGTCTATGCACCACAGGTAAACTAATTCAATGTTTATTTATCAATGATTTATGTACATAGTCAGCAATATATCACTCTAGGTGAGGCAAACGGTAAATCTGGTACATTCAGTATAAAACAACGGTCAGCTACATAAACAGATTGTATGGGTCCCCTGTGCTTAAACCACCAAAAAATGTGCTTCGCATTCTCGCGTGGTGAAAAGAAAAGGAATCAAATACCATGACTATTGCGATATAAGATGATTTATGACCCTTCGTTTGTATGAAAATTAAGAGTGTGTCTCTGTAAAAGCAGTCCGGTCTATTTTGCTTGAGACACAGATTTCCCTCATTTCTTGTGGGTCGTAAGAAATTCATGTGCCTATACTAAAACCACAATCCGTTTGATCGGATCTCTTTATTTTTCAAAGTTTTACGGAAATGAAATTTCACTCGAGCGAAGGCCTGTCGTGACACTTTTCAAGACTTTAATTTGAGACAACTTTGGAGGACAATTTAAAAAAAAATACGGAACTCAGCAAAAAACAAATACCACAGCCATGTATATTAATTATATCTTATCCATCGAGGCGACTTTCGTGAACGTCACATTCAATCAAGGAAACAGGAAGACTTGAATGACACCTTATCGGTTCGTTTAAGTCACACGCGAAAACCAATCAAATTCAAGGTAAATTTTTGAAAAAGTGAGGCGTTCTTAACTGATCCAACTAACATAATTAGGAAGTAGATGCCATAGAAAAGGTAACTACAGAAAAAAACTTTGCGGCCTGACCTTTACGAAAACTTTAAAACTCCACGAACTTACATAATTTTCGGCAATCTCCAAGTTTGGCCGCCATTTTGAGGGACTTATCAACATGAAGCGTTGCAGACACAAATCGAGCAGGTAGATCTAAAACCGTCAGAAATACATGCGAAAGCAATTCAAGTAAACTTTGCTTTCTATTGAAGCAGCAAAATGTGAAATTATTCGTAATACTTACCATTCCTACATTCCCATGCGACCATTTCTTCCAACAATTCAAACACAACTAGTGTTCAAATTCCCCTCGTCAGTCCACCATAAGAAATAACCTGTGTCACCCAAGCTTGGACTCAAATGTGAAGTACGAATCAAATAACACAACTGCTTCTTCTTCGAGGCAATATCATGCTGGTATTTTGATTTTCTGATCGACAAGAACGGTGTTCAGTAAGGGATCGCCATGTTTACCTCATACACGGACCGCTGGCCAGCCGCTGAGTGAAAACAGAACGGTGTGGGGTGGGGTGGGTGGGGGCTTATCGTCATAAGATATTAGAATACATGCTTAAAAAACTTTGGGACTCCCAGTCTAAACCGTGAAGGCATGCTTAGTGGTACAGACTACTTTTATTTTGTTCACATAACTTTTTCCTTTAAATCAGGACTGGTATTAATTAATAGAGTTATCGATGTATTTTTAACCGGNTTTCTCTTATTGAAGTTATCCTCATGCTCTACAGTCTAGTTTACCACCTGCTACTTATCCATCGTGGGAATTAACCCTAAACAACAAAAACAACAACCAAAAAAAAACCACTATCCATTTGTGGAGCCGAAACTTGTGTCATTTTATTACATTTGCATTTGGTCTTTTAGTTCCAGATTAATCCCAGCCGCTCAGCTTTGAGTGCCAGTTTTCCTCAGGGGACTTCACAGAAGTATCTCAGACGGTCGATAAGCCAAAACCCATGAGAAGGAAAAGGAGCGAGACCTTGGCGCTGTTTTCTTGTTCGTACGAGGGTTGCGTTAAGATGAATCAGGGTCACTATACTAATTCCAAACAGGAGATCGGCTCCTTTCTCAAGATTGATTCTGTTTGTTTTTCTTTTTTCGAAAACCCTACACAGCTTTTTTCTTTTCTTTTTAGCGATTACGGGATTTACTAGGGAATGTTTTTGTCTGCTTTGGACCCAAGCCCAAGGCCCCCCACCCCCACCCTCCTACCTGGGTTTAGTCAAAGAGGATGTCACGCAATCTAGTTAAGCTGAGGGATTTTGGTCTTTTTTCAACAATATATGTATATGAGGTGAGTTAATGTTTGTCCTATTCTTCCATCATTGCTTGTATGATTTCTTTCATATTTAGATAACCGGTACAAGTCAGGCTTCAAAGTAAGCAAACGCGCAGGTACTGGAAGTGTTGTCAAGAGGTTTATGGCTCAATTTCGCGCAATAAAAATGCTTTTCCTTTCAGATAATTGCCACTACGAAGTCATAATTGTTTGCTTAGTTTTTGAACTAGTGGAAAAGGATCGAATTCTCGAAGTATTTAAACTGCTGTCCAAGTTCACTCTTGTACTGCTTGCATTCGTCATTGCAACCGCAAGTTCAAAAGTTCGTAAATTTCACGCAAGTACAGTTGATGTTTTCAGTTCTCAAAACTTGCCGTTTGAATAGCCCCAAAATTTCATTTCACAAATTGAAAGAAAAAGGATTGCTCTTTCTCTGGAATAGCATTTGCACAACGAAAGCTATATACCAGGAAGGGTTTTTCGCCGTTGAAAAATGACAAAATTGATAGTCGCGATGAAACTGTTTTAGAGGGTAATTTTGAAAAAAAATTAAACATTCAGATTGGAATATTTTGAAATTGCAACAACGTTTTCATACAAAGGAAGGGTCATAAAATAATGTTATATCGCAATAGTCATGGTATTTGATTCCGTTCTTTTCACCACGCGAGGATGCGAAGCACATTTTTTAGTGGTTTAAGGGCCTCTCGGAGGTGAAAATTCAAAAAAATTATTTTTTCGTAAAATATCAATGGCAAGAAACTGAATACGATGAATTTATGGAGTTCATATATTTTGAACTGCGGTTATAGATACGTATGATACACGATCCTCGCAGTAGAGAGCGCTATTTTTGCAATAGCGAAAATCAGACCTGAAAAAAATCAGGCCTGTACGGGATTCAAACCACTGACCTCTGCGATACTAGTTTTTTAAGAAACTGAATCTTGCATTTTCTAAATTAGTTTCATTAGGGCTTTAATGTGACAAAGTTTGGGAGATTTCGATTTATCCATCTTGCACACCTATCCGTGGTATTTACAGAAAGTCGCTCTTAAAAGAAATCCAAAGAAGGAAAAAAAAAAAGAAAAAAGGTTCATGCCTCGACGGGGACTAGGCAGCGTTCCCCCGAAAGGTAGGCGAGGTTCGATACTCGTCGTTCTACTTGACGAGCGTCTATTAGTTTGTATGTTGTTACTTTTACAATCTAGGCTGGGGTACGGTTCGCAACTAAATTTCTAGAAAATACACAGATTACCGGGAAATATTTTCCCGTCGAGTTTGAAATCAGAGATGAACAACCAAAGGACGTGAGAAGAAAATTATACAATTTAAAGGTTGTCCATGTAGGGTTCATTATTACTATTGACTGACTGAACAAATGATTGAGTGGTTAACTGCATGGCACACTGATTTACTTGTTAACTGACTAGGGACTGCAGAAACGTGCAGCGCGAGTAATATTAAGCCCAGGTATCAGATCAAAAACAGTGGAAAATTTTAACAAACTAATTTGGATCCCATTCTACGATGAAGTCAAGATAAAAAAGTGCGTACTAGTTTATAAGGCGCTGCATGGAGAATCCCCTTTGTATATTGAAAGTTATTTAACTACGAATTATTCACTATACGGTAGAGAGACCAGGCATGGCCAATATAATTTAATCTGTCCTAAGTTTCGTAATATTACTGAAGCTGGAAGGTCTTTTCAAGTTAGTAGCGTCAAGTTATAGAACAGTTTTCCAAATGAGCTTAAGAAAAAACGCAGCACTTCCTCTTTCAGAAATGATTTGAGAAATTATTTTATTGATTCTTATAGAGGCGTTGATTCTTTTGAGGCTATATTGTAATATATATTGTATTCTATATATTCTATTTATATTTGTTTTTAATAGTTACTTTGTTAGGCTAGTTCCAATTTTAATTCTAGACTTGCATGTATTACTTACTAATCCTTAGTTTTGAGGGCCACTGGTTTGTCAGCGTAAGCTGTTATGTGTACACCCTCTTTAAATAAAGTTGACTTACTTACATTATCAAATACAAGGAGTCTCAAACTTGTTTTATTTAGTCCTAATAATTTCGCTTTCCTGTTTTTTTCGGTACAGCTTTAATGGCCGCTTTAAAGATGACTTGGCGTGGCTGCTACTGGTGCCGTTTATAACAACTGGATGTCTGTTGTTGATTCTTCGTGGTTGGACACAAGTGAGTGCAGACGTATTGCCAACGAGAATGACGGGGAAAAAGAGATAGCAGTAATTATAAATACTGAAGAAACAAGCAAGAAATCCAAAAACTACAGATATACTCAGTGTCCATGGAAAACCAGAAACAGGAAAACCAGAGTATGAACAGGCAGACATGTGATGAACAAAGAAACGTTCTCCATAACAGTCGAACAGAAAACTCTCCTACCATGTGGCTTTACGGCTCAGTTGATGGTAGCGTCCCTCTGGCTTTCGGCAGGTACAGGTTCAAGTTCCTTCAAGTTTTGTTCCGCTTTCTCTAACTGCTTTAAATACATTTTTAGCGAGAGAATCAATCCACCACTTCTCCGTCACTTACTGTACTAAATGTGAGCGAAAACGTTTGGAGAAAAGAGGATGGCTGCACGAAAAGACTATCAGGAATGGATCGATTGAATATAACTCACTTATCACTGTGATATACCATAGCTTAGGAGAAAAATAATAGCCAACAGAAAGAGTGGTAAACAACAAAAAAGCAGCCCTGATTTACGCAGTCTAAGTCAGTTGTGGTCAGTGCGAGGAGTAATGACTCAGGAGCGAAGATACCGGTGAATGGCAATCAGATAGGCTTGAAAAACAACAAATTTCGGAGAACATGTATTATCAGGAAAAATGACAACGGGATAGACGCTAAATATAGATAAGCTGAACCAAGCTAGTAGATACGAGCAATCTGACTAAGGGAGATAGGTGCGAATGTCTACCGATATTACAAATTAAAATAGGAATTAATTCACATTCACCGACGAGCCACCTTATGCCTTGTGATGGATAGGTTATGGGCGAAAGAATTTTGCATCAGGCGTAGGATGAGCTGAAAAAAGAAATGGGCAGCGCTGCTGACAGGGAGCAAGGAGGGGAAATTTGCAAACGTCGATGGGTCAGTCGACCCGTGAAAGATAGAGAGAGAAGCGAGAGGAGAGAGATTTTGCATGCAACAGTGTATAAAACGTCTTGTGAATTTCCCTGGGGACTTCCACAGCCAATAGAATAGCTGCTACGAGAATACGGGGGTTATCCGATTACTTATTAGGTATGCAGCGGCTTTTACGCGAGTGAGAATAATAATTTAATAATTTTCACCTAAAAGTCAATGTATGCCTTATGATGGATAAGTAATGGACGAAAGAATTTTTGCCCGTGCCAAGAGGGTTACTTCAGTTTTAATCAATAAACAATGGATGGAACGCACTTTTTTCGGTTTGAATAAAGTGCAAATCTTCCCGAAACTCAGAAAAATCCGAAGACGTGTGCTACATACTGTCATGGAAAAGCTAAACGACAGTCAGAAAGGTTTTTAAAGGAGCGGAAAGGCTCTGCGAGAATATTCAATGTATTTCAACTTTGGATATCATTATGAGTGTTCTGAATAGGGCCCTGGGTGACTTGTCCTTGTTAACAGATGTGCTGCTCTGAGAAAGCATGTTAGCCGATTTAGTAACACTGAGGATCTTGTCTGTTTGAGAATAAAACATAGCAGACTGTGTGGATTGTCAGCTAATGTGGGTTGCGATCTCTTCTGTAAATGCTTCCATTACCAAAAGTGCCCGCAGCGCACGTGGATACGATATCATATGAATGGGTCACGCGCACCGCAGACTGATTTATGAGTGGAGTTGCTGTACTGCATGTGTAATGTGTACTATTTCGCTAGTGCTGAAACCAGAGGCAGGGGGCAAATTTTTGAAACGCAGTGGGAGGAGGCTTATCTTTCACCCTGCCATGCGCATACCCTAATCAAGTTTACAAATTGCTCTTGGGTTGTTCACTAGCACAAGCAAACCTGTTTGCAGTCTTTACAGTTTCCAGTGTGTCCATAATCGATTTATGACTAACTGTTTTTTTTTCGGCACAATCTAAAAATTTTTACCCAGCACTCGATTGGCAAATTTCCTAGACATGCTATTTAATTTGATGGAGAATTGCTGCAGTTGATAAGCTTCTCGTACACACGTCAGAGCTAGTTCAAAGAAAGATTTTTTCCATTCAAAGTGTGCACGAACGAATATATTCACGAGTTAAGATGCATCAGTGAGGGGGGTTACCAAATCCGAATCCATTTGCTACTTGTCACGTGGAGAGGTGAAAAACGCAACTTGAGCTGTTGTGTGTTAGCTAAACAATTTTTAAAAAACGTCTGACGTTATTTATAGGA